ACACCAGCCCAGACCCAGCAGCCCCCTCCCCCAACACCAGCCCAGACGCAGCAGCCCCCTCCCCCAACACCAGCCCAAACCCAGCAGCCCCCTCCCTCTCTGAATCCCAGTCAGACTGGCTCGCAGGGATGGCAGCAGGAAAGCCCAGGGACATTAAAAGGAGCAGCCAACAGGAGGCCACGTCCTGGGTGAGATGCTCCAAGATCTGATTCCCCCAACACATCCAGCTCTCCACCATAACCCACAATATCTCCAGGGTCAGCACCTCCAGGAGGACAGTCTCGAAGCTCAGTGGGGAATTGTGTGAGCTGTTGTTGAACACACAGTCAGAGAGTGAGTGGGAGAAGCAGACATTGGGCTCAGATTCCACCCAGGGATCGTACAGTAACCTCCCTCTCCCCAGCAGCGTCTACTCCCAGAAAGATTCCTACCTTTAAGCAGTGGCAGAGGAGGCTGAAGAGGAGTCCCCTTTATCAGAAGCTGTTAATGGAAAGAAACACCTTTTCAAAAATTGTTTACCATCAGGGAACACAGACAGGTTCACATGGTGGGAGGTGGGGTCAACATGGACAGGGGAGATAGATAGACAGACAGATAAAGGGGGTTTGACACAGTCTGACATATACAAACACATGGAGACAGCAGGAGAATCAGTCAGAAATGAAGACAGTGTAATGAAGGGCTCATTTCACACACAGAATGAAGAACATTGCCTCCTCTTTCGTTCAATAACAAAGTGATTGGGGTAAACTTACTTTTTGCTGGATTGTAGCCAGTCTTCTGGCCTGCTGTAAAACAAAGAAAGCTCAGTTAGTGACCACACCCCCACAGTTAGGAGAGGAGATGAGTCTGTTTACTCCCAGCCAGTCACCTCTTACTGACAGCTGAGTACAGAGGGGTAAGAGGGGACCAGTTCACAACACTGGCTCCCCCCCCCCCCCCCCCTCCGGGGCCTGTCCAACATCCCCCCACCCTCTTGAGCGTCTGAAATCCTTCTTGATTTTTTCATTCTACCCATAAAATCTCCACTGGCCATTCACCTCTCAATTACCCTCTCTTATTACTACATTGTCATCATCATTAATCACCAAGGCTACGCCTCTCTCATGACCATTACTGAGTAGATGTCACCCCTGGTCTAGATCGAGCAGCCCTGTATACCGTCTCCTATCCTCCACACTCATCTTTCAATCTGTACAATTTGTTCCCCACACTCCACATGGTTGTGTGAAGAAAGCTCATTTGATTCACAGTTTCTAATCTGTCCTCCTACTCTAACATTACACTCTCACTTTCAGATTTTACTCTCTCTATTTAATTATTTCACATCTTTTAAGTTCTCCTGTTACTGAAAGTTTCCAAATATCCAACTTCCTGCTCTCCTCCCACTGGACCCTGACGTCGACACTTCTCCATCCGCATTGCCAGCCCATTCCCATTCAACCTTACCCCCTCACTCTCCAACACAACTCCCCAATCTCTCCCCACACCCAGAGTCCCCTCCCACAGCACGTACCTGCCCATTCTCACCCAAACTCCTACCTTTCTTTTTGTACCAGACAACCCCAGCGATGGCCGCAATAATCACCACGAGGACAACGACAGCACAGATTATAACCAGGAGCATGGAGCTGGTCTTTGGTTCTGAAAAAAAATAAACCAACAAAACGTCAGCAATCCAACACAGAACACAGGCGGACAGGGACACACTGTAGCAGCCTCCTGGCTGCTAAAACACTGATTGATTGCTGACTTGACCAAATAGCAAGGGATGCTGGGTACGTAGGCCAAGTAAAACTCTGAAGTCACAAAACCCACAGACCAGACACTGCAGCCAGAAAGGAAGAAGGCAGCTCTGTAGACACAAAGCCAGAGAGAGAGCAACTGCATACATCTACAAGAGACCGGGAAGTGTTGTAAAGCTTAAGAAGCCAAATTGGATTAGAGAAAATATGCTTACTATTAAAGATTATTGTAACTTTGTACCTGATAAAGTTGAGACTGTTTTGCATTGGTACTGGCTTCTGTTCATATTGATTTGACTGCTTCACTACTGTGGGACACCTGGGCAAATTCATTCATAACATTCAGGTCAGAGCTGTTTAAGGAGGAACGAGACAATATTTGGCATCCTGGGGTGGTCTTTGTTAAGAAGTGACCACCAGGTCCTCTGAAGTTGTACCCATCAGCCTGATATCCTCACAATTCAGGCGGAGCTGTTATTAACAAGATAAATATCCCACGTGAAAGCCAGGATTCAAGTGAGTAACTGAGGATACAGGCAGCTGACTAGAAATTGGCCCACCTTCCAGGAGGCCTATTGCCAAAGTGAGGAAAGTATGAGCTGGAAAAGGGTGATGGGGTACAGAGGAAGGCAGCCTGGAGGGAGATAGATGTTTGTCTCGTCTGTAGAAACCTTGGGGACATTTTGGACTCTGTGAACAAACCAAGGAAGCTTTTATTTTAACCTCCTGTTGTCCCTGTCCCAGAAATGTTTGATGGGGTCAGTGTGAGGGGAGCTTTATTTTACTTACTTTCAGTTCCAATGAGTAGAAGAGATTTCCCTCTGAATTGTAAACTCTTGTTGTCCCTGTCCTGGGCGTGTTCGATGGGGACCGAGCTGACTGGATATGATTTTTAGTTTACTTTGAGTTTGAATAAGTAGGGGAAAGTTTACTCTGTATTTCAAGCCCTGTCCCTACCCCAGAAGTGTCTGGTAGGGACAGGGGTCAAAGGGACTTTATTTTGAGTTCAACAGAGTTGACAGACCTTGGAGTTCCAAAGGTTCGAGGAAACTTTACTTTTCTGTTTAAAAGGGGCAGAGACGTTGGCAGCCCTACCTACTCTACTGTCCCGATCAAAACGACTGCTAGGTGTTTTAAACAGTACCTGGCAGAGAGTGGGTCAGAAACCCAGGGATAGGCTTAACACACAGGCATGGGAAACTCTACAGTCAGGCAACGAGAAGGGGTTAAAGACCTATCTCAGTATACAGTTAGAAAGGGTCACTGTGCTCTAGTTCCACACATCCAAGACTTCAAGAAGCTGTAACAAGAATTTAGCTAAAGCCTTATCCCAACTACAGCCACTTCCCATAACACGGAAGAGAAACCCAGTAAAGGACCCAGCAATAACATGCTTGCTACCAAATTGGGACAAATATTCCATTGTCTGATATGGGAGGACACTCTCAGACAATACCTTTTCTTAAAAAATGGCCCAAATGGACAGAATTCTGCAGCAGCCAGACTGACCCCAGACCATGGGGTCCATAGGCCAAGGCATACGGCAAGAAACACATAAGAAATTAGGAACAATAGGCACCAGGATAACCACAGCAATAGTGCGGCATGCAGCCTCGGAGATTACTGCAGGTGACCAGCTGGGATTAAGGTCGCTGTGGGAGTGATTAGAAATCACTCGTGACGAATTGGAAAAGTTACAACCTGTAGTTAAAGAGCAGGAAAACCTGACTCATGTGGGACAGTTCGTCACAATTCGAAGGAGCCTATTTTAGTGAGAAGTGGACCATTGGGGACCAGGAGGCCAGCCTCAGCATACACTGACAAGTTGGAACAACAGTGCTGGGAGCTTCAAGCAGCTGTAAAGTTTTCCCAGCCTGCAACGCACAGCAAGGCCTTAATATGGAGCATTCAAAGTGCCAGGAACAAATACAATCTCTAGTGAACCAGCTCTGTGCCCAGAATGGGACAGTGTGCGCCTTTAGGGTCCTACCTCTGCAGGGAGATAACGAGAGACCCCACACGGACACATCCACATTCAATCTGCCTTCACTCCAATTTTGTTTCTCAATTTCCCACTGATTATTCAGGGGTCCATTGTACAATCCCAATATAGTGATTATCCCTTTCTTATTTCTCAGTTCCACCCAACTAACTTCCCTGTATGTACTCCCAGGAATATCTACCCTAAGTACAGCTGTAATGCTATTCCTTACCAAAAAATGCCACTCCCCCTCCTGTGTGCATGTTCCCCCCTCCCCCCCCCCATTTTGTATCCTTCCCATAGCATCTATACCCTGGAATATTATGCTGCCAGTCCTGTTCATCGCTGACCCACGTCTCTGTAATTGCTATGTTATCCCAGTCTCATGTTTCCAACCATGCCCGGAGTTTACCTGCCTTACCTGTTAGGCCCCTTGCATTGAAATAAATTCAGTTTAATTTATCAGTCCTACCTCATTCTCTGATTTGTTCCTGCCTGCCCTGACTGTTTGACTTGCTCCTTTTTCCAAATGCACCAGTCTCAGACTGATCTCCTTTCTCCCTGGGATCCCCCCACCCACCAACTTACTAGTTTAAATCCTCCCGAGCTGCTCTAGCAAATCTCCCTTCAGCCCCCTTCCAAATCAGGTGCAACCTGTCCTTCTTATACAGGTCACTTCGACCCCACGAGAGATTCCAATGATCCATAAATCCCTATACTCTGCACCAGCTCCTCAGCCACACATTCATCTGTTCGATCCACCTATTCCTTCTCTCACAAGCTTGTGGCACCGGGAGTAATCCAGATATTACTACCTTCAATGATCTACATTTTAAATTTCTGTCAAACTTCCTATGTTCTCTCCTCAGCATCTTGTCCTTCCCTCATTCGATGTTGTTAGTTCCAATGTTTACAACGACCTGCTGCTGTTCCCTTTCCTCTTTGACAATAGTCTGCACCATCTGAGATATCCTTGATCCTGGCACCAGGGAGGCAACACACCATTCTCATGTTTTGCTGTTGGCTGCAGAAATACCTGTCTGTGCCTCTGAATAGAGGGTCCCCGATCACAATCGTTCACTTGGAACCTGACGTACCCCTCATTACAGTAGAGCCAGTCTCAGTACCAGAAACATGGCTGTCGATGCTACCCTGAGAGTCCATGAACCCCTACATTTTCCAAAACACCGTACTGGATTTGGATTGGGATGGGGACAGCCTCCTGGAAACACACTGTATCCTCACACATTGAGGGAGATCCTTACCATAAAACACAACCAGCTTCTGCCCCAATCCGTCGTGATCCACCACACAGGAGTACTTGGCCTGGGAATTCGGGTCAAACTCCGTCCATCTGTGGATCTGGTAGGATCCATCGTGATTGGGTCGGACTCCAGTGGATTCTGTCTCATCGATCTTCACACCATCTCGGAACAGACTCACGTCAATGGAATGAGGGTAGAACCCAGTGGCGACACAGGAGAGCTGTTTATTACCCCCCACAGAGGTAAACGTCACAGAGGGTTTGACTGGGACAGAGAGAGAGAGTGAGGGAGTGAGGTTAGATGGGGAGGGGAGACAGAGACAGAGACTTCACACAGCGGCTCTCACCCCCAGTACCCCCCACCCACCAAAACACTCCCAGCAATGCCCAACCTCAGTCTCTCCTCCCCTACTCACTGTCTCACCCTAACACGCCCCCCACCCCCAGTGTTCACGCCCTGCCCTCACTGTCTCATTCCCTCGATAAAACTCCCCCCAATGCCATGCCCATCGAACACACTCCATCTCTCACTCCACACCCCCACCACAAAACCTGTCTGGTGCCCCAATCATCTTCTCTCACACTCACAAACTCCTCCACTCTCTCTCCTACACTCACAATCTCTCACTCCACTTCACAATCTCATTCCTATCATGAAACACTCTCGTTTTCTCCTTTCCTCTGTGCTTCCCTCCCTTTCACTCGCTCACTCTCTCCGCCTGTCTGTTTCTCGGCCTGACTCGCTCACTCTCTCCGCCTCTCTGTTTCTCGGCCTGACACGCTCACTCTCTCCGCCTCTCTGTTTCTCGGCCTGACTCGCTCACTCTCTCCGCCTCTCTGTTTCTCGGCCTGACTCGCTCACTCTCTCCGCCTCTCTGTTTCTCGGCCTGACTCGCTCACTCTCTCCGCCTGTCTGTTTCTCGGCCTGACTCGCTCA